TCAATATTCTATTCTTGAACAGATGGTGCAGTAGTTTACTTTCAAGGGATCTTCAGTCTAAGCTTCCGTCAGTTGTCATCAACAGCATTTCCTGCGCGCTCTTGCCTTAAGACGGGGTGAGGGTTGCATGGGCGCTGGCCGGCACCTCAGTCCGTGCTGAAAAGGGTTTAGGGTTTAGTAAATTCCCTTACTTCAGCAACGTTTCATACGTCAACCGGCTGGTGCTGCAGGAGGCCTCTCCGAGCCACCGAGCGACTTTGCCCTCGGAGCAACAGCGACTTCACATCGATTCGGAGTCGGCGCGAAGTTCGGATCTTTGGTGTTTCAGGTTCCAGACTTCGCGTGGCGCAGGATGAGGCAAGAAAGCGCAAGAGGCAACGTTACGGTACTGATCTGTGCTGGTGGTCAGACTGAATGGTTAGGACACAACAGCTAGATGCAGAGGGTTCTGGTGACTGAAGCTCATGCAGAAAGGCTTGCAGGCACCACTCTCCCAAGGGCCGAGGTATCGAAACCTTGTGGAAATGGGTCCACACTGGCACCCGGTGTGTCTGTAAAGACTCGGCCCAAGCCCATGAGCTAGCTGCTGGTTGCGAATGCCAGCAGTTCATTCTTGATTCTCTCATAGAAACAGAGTCTGCAATCTGCGAATTCCCGGTGAGCTCCGAGACCTTTGATTCCTTTTAGACATCTTTGGGGGGGCACCCGGTGCTCGAGGTTGGCCTTGTTAGAGCACAACACTGGAATCACGGAATCAGTGGTATTTGCAGCAGCGGCGGAAGGAGTTGGTCTCGTGCTGGTAGTAGTAGTAAGTAGTAGTAGGTGGTTGTCGTGTCGTAGTCCTTGACTGAGGTTTCAGGGATCGACAGCTTCTCTCCGTCGGTACCCTCGGTGCTGATGGCCTATGACCGCTCGATGGGGGCTTCCGAATCTGGTGTTGAGAGCAATCGGCTTTACTCGAAGTGGCGAGGCTCGGCAAGAACTGAACAAACAAGACTTGGCCTTCATCGAGCTGTTGTCGGTGTTCAATGTGTGCTTGCATGTATCTTACTGCTATTTCCATGATAAGTACGATGTTGACTTCAAAACATCATCGTCAGAAACCCTACATCACCTCAACTCGAAGGAACCATATATGAGTAGATGAAGAACCCTACTAAGCCTCAAACCCTAAGCCCTAAANNCCTAAACCCTAAACCCTACACAAGGAACCATGAGCGGCCGTCCGGAGGAGGACTCCGCAAGCGCAGTTCGCTTGCACGGGCGATGGCAGCTCTGGCGGCAGAAGAGCGGGTCGTCATGGATTTTGGATTTTTGGGCTAGGGTTTGGGGTTGAAGGGCTTTTG